GCTTGATTGTGAACCGCAGTCATGAGATGCATGCGTGAACTGTTGTATATATCTGCTGCCATAAGGGCCCTTGAGTCATACAGAGTAGCTGTGCAGTTTGGCGAGAAGAGGAAGGCACCAATTCTGATTCAGTTCAAACCAAGCTTTCCTCCCCGGAAGTAGTTTGCGTTCTTTGTACGTTTCCCTCAATATTAAACCCGAACTCTGCACAGGACAGCTGCAGACAAACTTTCTGTGTCTGAACCACAAATCCAGTTGAACACCCCGGCAAGTTTTGATAGGATGAAACTTGAAGCTCTGGATCTCTGCGATTAGGCGCAGGGACGTTGCTCATGGAAGTGGATGCCACGACTGCTTTCCTTTTTTTCCGTCCCACTCCCCTCTACACCCCCCCCCCCAAACGCGTGGCACGCTGACTAGCTTGCATTCACCTCCCCTCAAGTTTAGTTCCCAGGAAGTTTTGCAACGGCTAGGTCGGTTAGGTATATATACAATCAATCATCCTCAATTCCCAGAAAACAGAAGAGGTTTGAATGAAGGAAATGTCAATCATACTGCAAGTAGCTCCAGCTGCTTCAGTAGACTCGGCCGGGCAGGGTTCAATCAACCAGCTCCCAGCTTTCGAAGGGTTTTCGCTGCAATGGCAGGAGGGTAAGACCTTCATGTATCGGCTGCTGCGTGATGCGCAGCTGGCACGTATCTGCATTCTAGGCCTGGCGGTTGGGTTCATGCAGTTCCATTTTTGGGAGTGACAGGCCCGTTCATCTCGGGGCCGGGCTGAGCGGTTTTACAGGCCAGTCAGAGGACTGGAAAGAAGATGATACCCGAATGGCCGTCGGTTTTGCTGTAGAAGCTTGGCTGCAAGACCTTGGTTTTGGCCATGATACCAAGCTGAGCTGTAACAAATGCAGATACTGCCGATACCTTCTGGCTCCTAAATCAAGGCAGCAGCTGGGTCCAAGATGATCCACATCAACTTGTGCACGGGAGTAGACGAAGCGCATCCTGCGCACTTTGCACTGCCTTCGCACCTCAATCTGGCCCCTCGTGGAGATCATCCCAGGCATCCTCCGGCTTCCGGCATCAACGAACAAACCATCGTTTCCGTCTCCAATGTGAGCTTGGCCTCCGGCATCCCGGATTCGCGAACGGATCTGGTTGGTGACGTCGAGCAGAAGCAGCGGGCATCTGACAACCCGGATCCAGTCGTGCGGGTACGCCGGTGGAACAAGTCCCGGGCCGCAGCTGGCTAGCCACCAATCGCATGCTTATTGACACGTCTACAGGAAGTTCAATCAGTACGTCTGTTCGGCAATCACGCGTTTGAGGGCCATATGGCACCGACGCCCAGGACTCCCTTGACCTGGCTCAAAGCGGCCCGAGGAGGCGGTTCTCATCGCGTGTGACGATTTCTGAGGTGTCTCATGAAAAAGCCGAGTTTCCGGTGACCGCGCGTGGCCTTGTGGCAGGAAAACAACACGGCTCATCATTGTTTCATCTTGCTGTCCTCCTCTTTCTTCTCTCACTCTGACACACGCACAGCCTCCATTTAATTGATATGGTTCCGCAAAAAGCCGCTGGCCCTCTGTGCAACAGGTCTGGCATCTGTCTTGAATCAATTTCTTGGATGTCCCATGGAATTCGTCATCCTTTATGTCAGCATGAGCTGCGGCGAACAGTGGCAGTCGACCCCATTATAGAGCAGCAACGTCAAAAGTGGAAAGCTTGTCCTACCTGCGAGACCCGCAAGAAGCCCCAAACCCTAAACGGCCCCAGACGGCCCTAAATCCTAGCCCACTACACCCCTACACTCGTAAACCCCTAAACCCTCAACCCCTAAACCCTCAACCCCTAAACCCTCAACCCCTAAGCCCTCAACCCCTAAGCCCTCAACCCCTAAGCCCTCAACCCCTAAACCCTCAATCCCTAAACCCAAAACCCAACCAGGCCTGGCAAAAGCCAGGATCACTCGAAGCCGGAGCCGGAAATCAGAGGGTAGCTAGCCCAAAGAGCTCCAGGCATCGTAGGGGTTTAGGGTTTAGGGTTTAGGGTTTTGAGGGTTTAGGGTTTAGGGTTTTGGGGTGGCAAGGTTTAGAGTCTAAGGATTTAGTCCTGTTAGCTGTATGTGTTGGGGGGGGGTGCCTATGTTGAACATCCCTTCGTTGCGAATTTCTAGTTAGCCGACATGCGTCCAAGATTCCGGAGCCAAGTTCTCAAGAGGGTGAAAAGCCAGTGCAGCAACACCTAGCATTGCCTGCACAACAGCGGTGCTACATTGTAGCCAATTGAGTTCTAGCAGCTCAAAGTTCCTTTACATGCAGCCCGGTTTGTGACTTTGGACACAGAGGAGCCATGTGAGCTCATGAGCAATTATAAGCATCATGTCACACCAACGCTATACTGCCTACATACACTCATCAGCTCAGCTTGCCCAGTTGTGCGCTCGCCACGCATGTCGCATCAACGCGTGTCTGTCATCGTCCCCGATTTCCTTTTCCTCTCTGACATGACTGCGGCTCTGGACGAATCTGTGGTTTTGGGTGACCAAGGCTACAACTTCACGCACATCATCAATGCCACGGATGGCTGTGCTCCGAACAAGTTCGCTGGGACAGGCTCGATAGAATATCTGAATATTAACATCGAAGATGATGCCACAGCGGAAGATCAGATGTTAGCTGCGTTTGGCTTGGCCTACGATTGGGTGTCTGCCAGGAACCTCAAGGAAATGCGACTCTTGGTTCATTGCATGTGCGGGGTGTCACGATCAGCATCGATCGTGATTGCCCTTCTGGCCAAGTTACAGACGGGTGTTCCAGAAGGTTCCTCTGTCTGGCATTGCTTCCACTTCGTCAAAGAACGCCGCCCCATAATACGCCCAAACGCAGGTTTCCTGCGTGCTCTGCTTGCGTGGCAGGATCTGCTAGGTCCTGGAGCAACACTCCACGATGAGGAGAGGCAACAGCTGCTGACGCTGATTGAGAAAATGGAGCTGTCAGACACCAGGGCACCACCGGCTGGCAGAGTGCAAGGAGCTTTGGACCGATTGGCGGAGGACCAGGCAGTCTTCCCTTGGTGCAGCCTTCTGTAGGGTTTAGGAGTTTAGGCTTTAGGGCTTCTTCCTGACTGCTCTGTCGAGTCGGCGATTTCTGCTGGAGGCCCTGGAGCATGACCCTGGCCACGCCAAATCTGTCCTCGGTTGCGTGCGCGACTGTCTCACGACTCGAGATGCAGCCCGCTAACACAGGAGCCTGAATAATCATCGATACTATTGCTTATAGGGTTCTCTGTTCTAGCGCTACTTGAAATGACCGAAACCCCTAGCTATATATATATATATATTATGAAGCCCTTGTACTACCCGCTGCCTCGGTGGATTCACATTATGTTTGCGTATCTTCTCAAAGGACAGACAGAAGAAGATGGAGCCCTAAACCTTTAAACCCTAAAGCCCTAAAACCAGTAACCCTAAACCCCAAGACCCTAAACTCCTGAACCCTACCGCTTAAAGCCCCAACTTGCGAAGCCTCAGGCTTCTCTTGAAAAGCAGGGCCGACATGAACAGAGTGGACACGAAGCAGAGGACGCGTTGTTTTTTTTTAGGTTTTCAGGTTTAGGTTTTCCGGTTTAGGGTTTAGGGTAGGGTTTCTGGTTTTCGGGGTTTAGATTTCGGGGTACGCAGAGGACGTTGCGTGGTATTTAGGGTTTACGTATAGTCGCCAGCGTAGTTCCTTTTTTGGGTTACCTTCTAATATCCCAGATTTAGGATTGACCAAACCGAAGCAGGAACTACAACGGAGACCATAGGTAGGATTTTTGGGTCTAGATTTCAGGGTAAGGGATGCAGGGCTTCGGGCCCAGGATGCCGTTGCCATGGGTTTGGGGGCTTCGCTGGGGTAGTTTTTTTTCTGTTGACCTTCCTTGTGGACTCGGGTTTCGCACGGCCGATAGCTGAGCGTTAACATCTGCAGGGTTTAGGGTTTCGGGTTCCAAGGTCTCGGCGTTCGGGCTGTGGGAGTTCGTTCAGGACTTAGGGTCGTGCCAAGATAAAGGAGCCCCAGTGATTGCAGACATCTTCAAGAGACACCGGGAACACTTGCAAAATCTTCAGGTCGACCCTGTGCAAGCCTATAATAAGGATATCCTATACTACATTACATTTACCTTCAGCCTTAATTAATCCATAAGGATGTATATTGTATACTGATTGTCGTGAAACTTTCAAGCTGAGCCGCAAGAGCCCGGAAGCCCTGCAGCCCAAGAGGGTCCTTTGAGGACTCCTCCCCCTGAAAGGCTTAACTCAGGGATTATAGGGCTTGAAGTGTAATGACCCCAACCCCAAAACTCTAAACCCTAAACCCTAAATCCTAACCCCAAAAACCCTACTCCCTAAGTTAAGGGTTTAGAGTTTTGGGCTTCGTTTTTGGGGGTTTTCGGGCTTTGGGGCCAGGGCCCGGAAGCCATTGAACCCAAAATCCCCTAAACCAAAAAGACCCATGAATTAAACCCCGAAGCAATGGTTTCAGGTTTAGGGTTTAGGGGTTTAGCCCGATTCACCCCAAACCCAGACAGAACCAGAAGCCGTAAGCCCTCTGGCCACAGGACTCCGCTGTACTTCGCTGCTTGCATGGGCCAGCTCAGGATAGCCCGGGTCATGTTCCCTGGCGGCCGGAGGGTGAGAGGGGGTCAGGGATGCTTGTTGCCTTCATTCTTAGGGGTTTAGGAGGTTGCTTTTGGGGTGTAAGTATGTTAGGGATTCTTGTTGTTTTTGCTTTGGGAGATGTTGTGTTTTGTGTGTTTGGGCGGCTTTGGGGGTGTGTGCTTGTGGGTTTTTAATGGTGTGCACTGGTTTCTGGTTGCTGGCCTTTTGTTTTTTTCTCGTGATGCTGGTCATTCCTGCGATAAATCACGATGAAGGGGGACCTTCCTTGCTTTGGGCTTGAGGATCATGGGCCTCTGCTAGTAGGGTTCAGGGCTGCGTGGATTTAGGAATTGATAAAAGTAAACAGGGCTTGCGGTTTACGTACATCCTCAAACCCTATACCCTATGCCTACTGGCCCCAAAGAATGAAAGCCTCACGCCCCAAGACTTCCCCCTTAAGAATTCCGAGAACGGATCCCTTAAGCCTTGCAAAACCGTATGATAAAAACCATAGAACCCACCCCCGTCTGAAACAAAAGGGTCCCATGACCCCTACACCGGACTCGGTAAGCCTCAAACCTGAGGAACCCCCGAAGCACCCAAAACATATACTTGTGGGTGGTATATCACCAGCTTACTAGCTTACTTCGATAGTGGATTATGGGATATCCCAACATTATAGGTGTTGCTGAGCGTTTTTGTGTTGGTTCCCTAGACTTGGTGACCCGAACCCGCCGCGAGCCACAGTCGCCGCCCAGGCTGCGAGATCGCGTTTTGGTGAATTCGAGCTTCTTGGCTTGCCTTCCAAGTTATATAGGGTGTAGAGTTTGAGATTTGGGGTACCCGGGTTTAGGCTCAGGGTCTAAGGTGGTTTAAGTCAAACATAGGTGTCCCTAAACCCTAACCTCCCATGTACACCCTCACCAACCCCAAACCTCTAAACTCCTAAACGCCCTAAACGCCCAAACCCTGAACCACAGGAGTTTTGGGTTGTTTGGTTTGGAGCTCTTGATTTTCCGCAACCTGACCTCTCCCCCAAACCCTGAAGCCCAAGCCCTACCTGTGAAGAAACGACAAACCCACAAAGCTAGAACCCTAAAACCCCCAAACTCCAAAGCCCCCTCAAAGGGGACCCTTTAGGGAGTGCTCAAGCCCTAGAGCCTTGAACCCTAAACACCTCCAGTATAACCCTTCTAGACCTTTCTAGGCCTCCTTCAACAAAAGACGCACCCTCAAATTGAGTGCTAAGGCGAAGACCCTAAGGCCCTAAAACCGAAGGAGATCGGCGTGGGTGGACGCCGCTACACGCCGCCATAGCCCATGGGCAGGCCGTGTGCAAGAAGCCCCTTCTAGGGCAGATTCTTGGGTTTGGGAGTTTAGGATTTAGGAGTCAGGGGTTTAGGGGTTTAGGGCTTAGGGTTTAGGCTTCAGGGGTTTAGGGGGTTTAGGGGTTTAGGGTTTAGGGTTTAGGAGTTTAGAGTTCAGGAGTTTTGGTTTTAGGTTTAGGGTTGGGTTCGGGGTTTTGCTGTTCCGGTTTGCCTTTTCGGAACCCTATAAACCTTAAGCCTCTGGCCCGACACCAAGCCGACGACATACTACACCCTGACAGCTCCACCTATGGAAGCCCGCTATGGAAACCTGTTCTATGCCCCTATAATATCTCAACTCTACACTTTCCTGAGCAACCCTAAATCCTAAGCACTGCACCCTAAATTTTAAATCCTAAATCGCAACACCCGAGACCGTAAACTGAACCTAAGCCCCAAATCCTACGTCCTAAACTCTAAATCCTACAGCTTACACCCTACGCCAAAATTCCCCGTACCTAAAAATCACCTACTCTCCAAAGTACTAGCCTGCACAACTACTATCCCAAACCCCAGTAATTACCTACTTGTTGGGTTGCTTGGACCCTCAACGCTAGACCGCCCTAAACCCTAAACCCTAAACCCTAAACCCCTAAACCGTAAACCCTAAACCCCTAAACCCTAAACCCTAAACCCCTAAACCCTAGATCGACGCCCTGGCAGACTGACATGGTCCGGAGTCTCATCGACTGGGGCGCCGACATCACAGCGAACCGGCTGAAGTTTTAGGGTTTTGGAGCCTTAACTGGTCACACTGAAGGGTTCCTTTAAAGGGTTCTGTAGGGTACTAGAATGGAATGGGGTCCCCTTTTCAGGGTAGTATAGGGTGCTGTCATAGGATTCTCTTTAAAGGTTCGTCTAAGGTCCTCTTGGGGTTTAGGGTTAAGGGTCTAGCCTTCCTTGAAAGAGGCTCGTGTGTGAGGGCTCAGTGGTTCGGCTTGAAGTCGGAGCCTTGACTCAGGATTTCTTCATAGACTTACCGTAGAATATGACCCCAAAACCCCCATTCCGATAGTTAAGGCCCCTTACAGTAGGATCTGGGAGCCTTTCATATCCCTCACAGAACGGAAACCGGGTTACGGATCCGGTATCAAGGGCCCCGGGCTCTGGGAAGTTGGAGTATTGAGGTCCAGGATCGAACCACACAAACCCGAAGCCCTAAACGAAACGTTGCAGCTGACTCGGTGATTAGCTGGGCCTTCTGTCCGCATGACGCCTACATCCTATATAGGCCCTAAACCCGTAAACCTAAACACGAAGCCCTAAACCTCTAAGCCCTGAAACCCTAAAGTCTAAACCCTACACTTTGCGGTCTTCGGGTTCAAGGATTCAGGCTTGGGCCCTGGAATTATCGGGCCGGAGGCCCAGACCATTGGACTTGTTGTCTTGGAGGTCTGGATAGGTAACTGTTGAATTTTTGTGTGTACATACATACATTCCTACATACATGCATACATTTATACATGCATACATGCATGCATACATACACCCATACGTACATACATACATACATACATACATACATACATACATGCATACATGCATACATACGTACACCCATACATACATACATACATACATACATACATACATACATACATACATACACACACCCATACATACATGCATACATCCATACACACATATGTATAGTGATATATATATGTGTATATATATATA